GGTTAATATAAAGAGTTAGTGGTTATCCAGTTCGGGGTCTGAGAGGCCCCAAAGCATCCCAAACCCTCTCTGTCATTGATACCAGATGTTGGTGCATCCTGCGCTGCTGGTAAATCCCCCCACTGGGCTCAGCTTAGGGTGTGGTGGGGGGGGGGGGGGGGGGGGGGGGGGGGGGGGAGCTGAGGGGTCTGAAGGCGCGGGAACTGCTGCCGATGCTGTGTCGGTGTGGATTTAGTGGTGACTGTTCAACACACCGGTCTGCTGTCCCCCGGGCTGTGAGAGCGACCTGGGGGGCACATTGCAGAACAGGACAGTTCCTCTGATGTTGCCATTGATGGTTTGTGGTGATTCCAGCACCTCATAACAGCTTCCCCAGCAAAGCAGGCTGAACTCCATTCATAAAGTAATCATAAAGTAATCATAAAGTAATCATAAAGCAATTATAAACCAAGAAGCCCATGTACACATCACTGACGATGATACTCATCCTTTTCTGCTCTTTTTCTGTCCCAGTAAGTTTACAAATGTGCCAAAAAGAGAGAACAATCCCCCCCAATGAGGTGTTTCTGAGTACAAAACCCAAACTGTGTAATATTTGTTAGCTGGATATTGGGTATGAAAACAGACCATTAAAACTGCTTCTGGAGGAAGGGAAGCACAGAAGAGGACATTGAGAGTACAATGTAATGAGGGGGCCTGACGGGCTTCTCTTTGGACAGCTTTGTGGGCCAGAGACAGGGGCCTCATTGTCAGCCTGTCCTGGTTCCGCTGCCGTCTGCGAGCCGGGCCGGGCCGGGCCTTTCAGCTCCCATTCTCGGGCTTTTGTGTCGGGTGGACTATTCAGCGATTATAGGCCAGCATAATCCAAAATGGCGACAGCAGTGTCAACACGTGTCAGTGGGTCCCAGTTCATTATCTTAGACTCTGAAGAGACGGCTTTGTCCACCAGGGCTGGGGGGGGGGGGGCACATTAAGTGCGGTAAAAGGAGGGGTGAATATCGAGGGCTCCGACAGAGGTCGACACTCGGTGATGACAGAAATGTACCAGCGCGTGACGCTGCTTCCTGATGTGAAGCTTCTGGAAGTACAGCCATGGCGGGGGCGGTGGGGGGGGGGTCTGATTACCAGCTGGTTTTGTGTGTCCGAGTGTCTAGAGTACAGATCAGTGTGCCACACCTTTGTCTCCATTCACCATTGAGCGGCTGGACAGGGCCATTTGATACAGTGAGAACATGGAGGTTGCTGACTGCTATGGGCCCTCTGTCTTTTATCCCCCCCCCCCCAGAAAATGGGGTGAATCAACAAGACTGTGGCCCCAGCTAGTTGCAGAGTGCTGTGTTCCCTGCCCCTGTTTGCTCTGAAGTCGCTGTTGTTTCCCGTGTTACTACATCAGCGGCGGTAACATGACCCCATTGAAAGGACCTCAGTCACTGAGTCACAATCGTACGACTTCTAAAGGGGGGGATAGTGTGGCAGACGAGGCCGACCTTGATGTAAATCAGCGGCCTGGTGCTGCATCCCGGCAGGAGGCCTCACCGGCCGAGCCGTCCCCCGGGGCTACGTGCGTGACCAGAATCAGGCCTCGGCAAAGACCAAACAGGTGTATGGGATCCTCGCTGCCCATCAGTGCTGGCTTACGATGAAACACGTCCCTAAGGGAGAGGGGAGAGGGTTTTATAAGAACAGAGAGCTGGGGAACAATGGAACAAGAGAATGATGGAATAAGGGAACAAGGGAGCAAAGGTATAGGGGACCAAGGGAATGGGGAACAGGGGAACAGATACAAATGAATGGGACCAAGGGAACAGGAGAACAAGGTAATGAGGGAAAAGGGAACAAAGGAACAAGGGAATGTGATCAAGTAAATGGGAAAAAGGGAATGGGAACAGGGGAACATAGGAGCAAGAGAATAGGGGAACAGGGGAACATAGGAGCAAGAGAATAGGGGAACAGGGGAACATAGGAGCAAGAGAATAGGGGAACAGGGGAACACAG